TTCAGGGACCCCTCTCACAAGGAATTCCAATGGCAAGAAGCTTCTCGCCTTCTCACCATAGAAGCAGTCAAGAGAGTGCCCGATCAGTTCAGGGCCAAACGTTTTTACTCCAACTATTTCCTCATGGGGAAGCAAACGGGAGGATAGAGGTCCATCTTAGATCTGTGCAAGTTTAACAAATAACTATGCAAGCAGTGGTTCAAGATGGTGACTCTTGTGTCTATAATTCCAGCACTAGTTTGCAGCCCTCGACTTGCAGGGTATGTATTTTCACATGACGATTCATCCATCACACAGATGATTCCGTCATTTTACTATAGCATTGGAACACTTCCAGTATTGAGTCTTACCATTCAGCCTTTCCTCAGACCCCAGGGTATTCTCAAAGACTCTGGTGGTAGTTGCTGCACACCTATGCCAACATGATATGATAATTTTCCCATTCCTTGACGGTAGTCTCTTAAAGAGTTCATCTTGTGTGAAGACACTTGGCATAATATTTATAGCCAGAGACCTCCTCTAGTCCTTTGGTCCCATCATCAATTATCAAAAGTCTGCTTTTTAGCCACTGTAGACTTCATAGGCGCTTGTCTCTATTCTCTCACTGCCTTCGCTTACTTACCAATGCAGAGATTCCAAGCCATACAAGATCTGGTTGGCACAGTTTCCACAAGTCTGAGGATGACAGTACTTGATCTGTTCACAACTGATGGGCCATTTGGCTGCCACAACTTACGTAGTGCATCATGTTAGTCTGCATCTTCGCTGCCTTCAGCATTGGCTAGCATCCTTTTATATCCCATCCAAACATCGGGTTCACAGGTATCTTCCCCTCCACCCCCCAAAGTATCAGCCTCCCTCTTGTGGTAGACAAATCCAAATAGCCTGTTGTCCAGAGTACCATTCCAATGCAAGCAACCGTGGTACAGATCACAGCAAATGCATCCATGATCAGATAGGAAGCACATCTAGATGGATATTTCACTCAAGGTCGGTTGTCTGACCACAGAACAGATCTATACATAAACCTCCTAGAACTTCAGGTGGTCATGAACGCTTGCAAGCACTTCTGAGCGCACACAACCAGTTGTACAGTGCGAATACTCACCAGCAATATGACAACTATGCATTACATCAATCGGCAAGGTGGGGCATGTTCTCGCTTCCTGTGTGTGGAAGCAGTCTGTCTATAGAATTGGTATATTGGCAACAAGATAACTTTGACTGCTTCGTATCTCCCTGGCATAAACAGTACTGCAGCAGACACCTTGAGCAAACATTTCATCGTAGATCAAGAACTGAGATCAATCGGCAAGTACTCCAACCCATATTTCGGAAAAGGGGGTTTCCTCAGATAGATCTGTTCTCCTTCCACAACAATACCAAGTGCCATGCATATTACTCAAGAGTGGGCGTAGGACGTGGATCATTTGGCATTGCCTTTTTAATCACCTGGAATGCCCAGATATACTACACCTTTCCGCCAATCCCGCTGATTCCAAGAGTATTTGGAAAACAAAGAGGGACTGTGCTCAAGTGATTCTCGAGTGATCTTCCTGGTCTGGACAGACGTGGGTTCCTTATCTTTACTGGATGTCTTTTCGACCCCTTTTGTCTCCTACTGTCATCCAGATCTACTGGCCCAGAATGGGGGACTGTGCTGACTCATCACCCGCAGACACCCAACAGCTTGGCTTCTTGCTGGTTCCATGACACCGAAACACTCTGTTCAGACAAGGTAAAGGATTTCCCGCTGCATAGTGGGTGTCTTACCACTTGCACTACTTACTTCCAGAAATAGACAAGATTCTTGGCCTGGTGCACAGAGTTATTTCAACCCATATGGAGTTCTGCTGTATATGATCCATTGTAAAGAGAGTGACATCCCTTAGCATCACTCCGCGATTGATACAAACAGGTGTTGTGAAGTACAGAAGGCTCTAGTGTGGTCTATGTAAAAAGAAAGCGCTTTCCCCCCCCCCCCTTTGATTTGAAGCAGTTCAATTACCCCTAGCTTCTCTTAGAGTCCATCTTGCTGCTATCACTGCTTTCCATCCCAGAGTAGAGTGATATTGTATCTTTTCGCACCCTACTATCAGGTTTCTCAAAGGTCTCCCTTACCTCATTCCACCACTATAGACCTTCACCACCATTATGGAACCAGGAGAAGGTGTTAGATACTCTTACTCGATCTCTATTTGAGCCCTTGGTGAACTTGTCCTTTGTCTCTGATGACCATGAAGGTAGTTTTTCTGCTTGAAGTAACACGTGCCCGCAGAGTTAGTGACCTTGCGGCCCTTACAACATTGCTATCTTACACTGTTTTTACCAAGGACAGTGTTATGTTGTGCCCGCACTCATCCTTTCTACCAAAGTCTGCTCTGACTTTCATGTCAAAGAGCCAATTGTCTTCTCGACCTTCTATCCAAAGCCACGTTCATCCTCACAGGAAGCTCTACTACATACTTTGAATGTTTGCAAAGCTCTTTCTTTTTACGTAGACCACACTAGAGCCTTCCATACTTCACAACATCTGATTATATCAATCACTGAGTAATGCAAAGGGATGTCACTCTCTTTACAATGGATCTCCAACATCATTGTTTCCTGTAATACACAATGTTATGCCGTATGAAGGAACAGAATTTGGACACCGTATATGAAGCAAGCAGGAGAGTTTTATTACACACAGCGCTGTTGGAGTGTCACATCGCTCCGTGAACACTGCCAAACAATAGATTACAACCAGTTGTATAGGATTCTCAGTGGGCAGATCAAAGTGATGGAAGGGGGAGGGGATGATCCTGAA